TTTTTCCTACAAAATAAGATTTTAACACTCTTTAATTAAAGATGAGAAAGAAACTAACTTTTATTGAACTACTATGTGCCAGACATTGTGACCTCCCCTTCACATGTTCTACTTAAACTGGATCCTCAAAGCAATACTAGAAGATATTTAAAAATGCTTTTTCTCCAAAATGAAACTAGTTTTAGCAACTTACTAATAACAACACAATGCACACACATCTTCGCAATTGCATTAATGGAAGATGTGAGCCTGATTCTACCTATACCATCTGTGTCTGAAAAATCATTATTAACAAAATGAGCTAAAAAGATTATTTACCCATGGGGGAAACATGCTAATCGGAATCCCATCAAGTTCATTACTCAGACGTACACAAAACTGAGTTCCTGACCTACACTTCCAAACACGCTCCTTTTGAGGCATCTCCAGCTCAGTAATTGCCACCTTCACTCTTCTTCAGCTAAAAACCTTGGTCATCTTGTTTCGTCCAGCCCACCCACCATGTCCCCTCTAGCTTCAAAATGGAGCCTAAAATCCCTCTCCAGACCCATTGCCCCTCATCAAGTTTGTTATCAGCTTCCCAGTGCAAGTCAGCACTCTCCTCGCCTACACTAATGTCACAGCTGGCAGTTCCCCAGTCTCCCTCCTCCTAGCTCTTGCCCCACTGAGCAGTCTGTTCTCAACCCAACAGCCATAGCCATCTTTTAAAAACATACATCAAGGTATGGCACTGTTTAGTTCAAAACCTAACAAATTCTCATTAGATCAAAAAATAAGCTGCTCACCATAGACTAAAAAGCTGTAGAAAATTTGGCTGTTCAGCACCTCTGGCCTCCAGTCTTTTTGTTCTCTCCTTTGCTTACTGCTACATCCACACAGGACAACATGCCAGTCCCTGCACACACTGGGAACAACCCACATTCTGGTCCTCTGCATTTCGCCCTTCCCTCCCCACTCCACAAATGCACCTTCCCAGTGAGATTTTTCTTGACACCAGATTTTAAATTGTACACCTGCCCCAAAGACTCCCTAACTCCCTCCCATGTGTTGGCTCCTTAGCACTTATCATCTGAAACATGCAGAGTCATGCATTGTTTCACGACAAGGATACATTCTGACAAGGGCAATTCTGTCATCATGCAAACATCATAGAGTTCACGTGGTGAGCCTACTGCAGACCTAGGCTATCCAGTAGAGCCAACTGCTCCTAGGCTACACACCTGCACAGCACAGTACTGCACTGAATACTGAGGCAACGGGAGCACGGTGGTATGTGTGTTATCTACACCATAAAAAATGTGCAGTAAAATCGAGTACTCTAATCTTACGAGACCACTGTCATATATGTGGTCTACTGCTGATCGAAACATTATGCAGTCCATGACTGTGTATGACACATATTGAGACCTTACTCATTTGTTTATCCATCTCCATTGAAGCAGAAATTTTTGCCAATCTTGTCTAGTACTATACCTTCAGTGTCTGGCACATTGTAGGCACTCAAATATTTACTGAATTAATGAATACTAATAATCACTGAATATAAACAAATACAGCAAAAAGCAACAAGTATATAACACTCTTGCCAAGCTAGATACACTGTAAGTAAAGTACACTCTTGTTTTGGTACAAACAGTTTCTGAGATATTATCTTCTTTCATAATAAAATTTTTGTTTTGTTAACTGTTGTTACAGGAAAAAGCAAATTGGTGTTTACTTTGGCTGATTAGGTTACCAAGGGAAATCAGAAGTGTGAAATGAGTGTTAAACTCTGAGGCCCATATTAGTGATGAGTGAAAGGTAGAGACTTACTCCTTGATCCTCAAAGTATGGTCCCACTGAGGACCCCCAGCATCAACAAAACCTAGGGTTAGTTAGAAACACCCACTCTCAGCTTTCACCCCGACCTGCAGAAACTCCTGGTGATTAATACAGGCACACATTCAGATCATTCTACATCTCCTCTTCTATAAACTATCTTGTCAATGATGGGAAAGAAGCATCAACACTTTTAAATACATTCTCCCCCTTGGAGAAGTGGGCAAAAAATGAAACAAAGTCAAATTTTTCAAAGTCAGTACAAAAACATGTCCTATGTTCTCTAAATTCACTCTACCTAAATCCTTGCCAATTTTTAGTTTGGGGACTTGGTCAAAACATAGAGGTCTTTGGATATAATTAAAACACCAACTTTTGCTCATCACGAACTCCAAACATAAAAACATAGGGAGTATATGAATCTGCTGTGCACATATTTGGGTATGATGGAGCCAAATGATTAAAACACTTCAAATATCTCAGAGAGAATTTAACTAAAATGTTATAGAAGTGAAAGGAGCCTGGAGCTGGGCACAGCTTATCCAAAAGAAGTGAGCAAGTCCTCAGGCACACAGCCCACAGGACAGGTGTTTGGTGTATAAATGAATGTATCCTTGCTGTAAACAGAAAAATAACAGGTCAGGTTAACAATGTACTAACTTAAGCATGTGGTGCTGAACTTGGCTGATTCCACTTCTATGAATATACCTGAAATGACTTCCAGAGAGGTAGCCAAGCTATTCCAAAATCAACTAAGTCAAGGCACTGTATCTAATCTTATCTATTTGGGAAAGGGAGCAGGGAATAAGTAAGCTATTACTTAACTACCAATTCCAGTGATGAGTGTGTTAAGAAGGCAAGTGTAACTACCACATTTCAAACATGGGCACTCTTTTTCTATGTCACTTTTGCAAGGGTAAGGCCCACTGTATTTACCAAGTTGTGTTCATAATGATATTTACAATTGCATATTTTTCCTGAAACATGGTACCCAACCCCACTGAGATACAGCTCGAAAACATTCTGGACAGGAAAATGAACGGCCTGGAGGATATGGTTAAAATCTCCTTGGTGCCTAGACCTACTCTATAAGCATATTAAACACTTGGAATCGCTGTAGCCCTCACAATACTACAAAGCAAAACTCCCTATTAGAAGGACTTCAGACTAAATGCAAGTGGTATTTAAGAAAGGGCTCGGGAACAAAGAATTGAAGAAGTCTTGAGATTCACCTGAAGTCTCAACAGACAGCAAAATTACGGAGTGGGGCTAACTCATCAGGGGATATAGGCAATGAGGGCTCTATAAATCTAACCACTTTTGCCATATAAGCCAACTTATCCTTCTGTTTGACTTTAGATTATGTAGTCCGAGTATGATGGCAGAGAAGTAGAGCAAGCAAAGAAGAACTGAGACACAACCTGAGTGACAGATGGATGGGGCCCAAAACAATTTTTTCCAACACAGTCTACCAGGGGCTGAACGTTTTATTTGTTGCTGGATGACCACACCCTCCATGGGGATATATGTAATAACATTCACACACAATCCCAGAGCAGATCTGCTGACAGCATACTGTACAGTAAGTGAGCATTATCTGAATTGTAATGAAGTCCTTCTTTATTACAGAACTGCTCACAAGAGAAATACGCTTGAGCTACCTAAGATAAAAACGTTTATTTAAAAGTCTGGTAACAAGCTTAATTGGACATTTTTGACTTCTACCTTTTAAGCCAATCAAAGGATAATTTTTTAAAAAGTTTCCCAAACAAAATCAGAATATTACTAAATATTCCTTTATAAGTAAGAAACAAGACAAAAATCCCCTTAAAAAAGACTATATTGACTGCAAAGGAATCAACATGGGAACCTCTAAAATTAAGCGGTTTAACAACATGGGAGAGGACAATTTCACTCTACAAAAAAAACCCCTGATTATCCAGAACACTCAAGTTAAGCGAATATTCCAAGCATCTATCTACAATGGGTAAAACATTCATTAAAAATGACTTAACCCTTCCTTGATGACCCAGGGCTGTCAATACTAATGTCATTTTCTCTGCTGGGCTGTACTACACAGAGACACTCAGGCTATTAGGCCTTATGTCTATTTTAATTAAATGGCCTTTTAATAGTTATCTCAACTTCATAATTCTTCCAACTCTTAATACTTCCTAATTCTATCATTATACCCAGCTTAAAAAGTGTGGCTCTGTCGAGAGTCTGGAAAAAGACGGCCATATTTTTAGGTAATCCACAAAGTAGGAGGCACAGCCCTCCAGGGAGTGACACAGGAGGACCAAGTGGCTGCTCTCTGGCTTTCAGAACCTGCTTCCCTCTTGTTTCAGGCTGCCAGATCATTGAATTCCTAACAGTCAAGGTGTAACTGCGTACTAGGAATTCAAGACTGCCACTGCTAAATTTGAAATATAGAATTAAATGCCAAACACAAACACTTCAATGTCGAGTCACGTGCTGCTTCTGTCTAAGCCAAGGCCACCCCTCCTCGACTATCAGCTGGCATGTACTTGTAAAAGGAAATGCTTTCCCCATCTTTAAAAGCAGAAACAAAGCAATACTTACCTTAAAACTTAATCTGTTAAAAAACCAAAAAATACATTCCAAAGTCCAATATATTTTTAAAAAAATTATCAATGCCATTATTCCCTAGCTCAAAGTACCAATTCTGGTAAAAAATTTTAAAGCTGGGGTTTCAAAGTCATCTACAAAATACTCCCCCATTGGGAATGATCTAAAACAAGGGTATACTCAACTCAATAATATCAGAAAAATATCCAAATGAAATCTTTCGGTTCCTAAGCACCTAGGGTTATCAGCGGCATATGGCCACAAACCCAGCAGAATGAAAGGAAGGCAAGAGGGTTGTTCTATTGAGGTGCTTAGGCAGCAGGGCATGGAGGGAAATGGACACAAGTAGGATGTGGAGCAGAAATCAGTGGCTTCTCAATATCCTTCTGTCATCCCAGGCAGGTAATTAGGAGTAGACTAGACAAATGGGCAAGAATATTGTGACTACTGACCTCTCTTCCTGGTAAAGAGATAAGAACTTATCTTTGGCTCACAGTTACTAAGGCAAATGGAAGATCTTTTACATCTTTCTGAATAAATGGGCAAAGGCTAAGAGCACTGAAAAAATAAAAATGTAACCTTGTAAAACCTACTAGATCTACCGTGTTCCTCTTGTTAGTTTCTCCTAAGGAGCTTGTGCAGAATGTCTCCCATCGTTCCCTGACTTCGTCGGGAAGATCTTCAGAGAGAGAAAACCAAAACAGTATTAGCACCACAATGACCTCCACACAGACAAATAAAGTAAACAGGTAATATAAAAGTGGGCCTACTCACCTGGTTCATCAATGGTGAGCAGGCCCTATCAGCTGAGAAACTGGGTGACAGCCAGCCCAGTGCTCTTAGAGAAATGGAATTATTACACCTTCCATAGGCCTAAATCCCACAGACTTTCAGGAACCAGAATCCCCGTACCCAATGGTATAGGCTTGATTAGGCCAAGAGCCCTAAGGTAGCTCTGTGAACTTAACAAGTTTCTAACAATGTTCTGGTAGAAACTTTACCTGGAAAGTGTGTTTCTAACAAGCTTTTCTGAGAAAGGTGGTAGGTGTTTGAGAAGGTGTAGGGGTGAGGGGATCTTTTTCCACGGTGAAATTTAGAAAATACTGCAAATGACAGCTCCTGTGCACTTTATTGAAATGCTCTCATTGGCACCTGGCCAATGAATGTTCCACAGAACCTAGTATGGCTTCTCAAATTGCTCTAAGATCATGTTTCCTAAATATTTTGTGTCATGGGCCAACACGGATACACATGTAAATAGTGAAATTCTACCTTCTAGAGAAATGTTAAAGAAAAGGATAAACAACTGCTTTCCTGAGAAAGTAAAACCGTGATGTAATTTTAGACGCCTAACTAAAGTTGTCATCTGATAATTCTGATTTAAAACAGCCATGCATATGTGCACACTCACACAAGTGTACACACGTACCACCTGGCAAGCAGCTTCCATAAAGGAAAGACTGATCTAAAAACTTAATGATATCACATGGCCATTTCTTCTTAGTTAGGACATAAAGATAAACTGTGTAGTGAAATGGCCCAAGGAAGAGTTTTATACCTCTTATACCTCTCTCAAGAAGTAAAATTACAAGTGGGCACACAGCACTTTTTCCATCCCTGGGTGACAACTGTGCTTTTAGTGCACATTCAACAGGGAATAGCCTCTTGAACAAACAAACATTTTAAGAAAAAAACGGAAGGACTGGGAAATGATTTTAACTCTTCTGTACCATGGATGTTAAAGACTGTTCACATTCAGAATAGGTCTCAGGATTAGTAATCCTGTTGGGTACAAACACCCAGAGTACACAGAGCTCCTCATGCTCTCATTTTAGAAGAAGACTCATGGCTTGGGGCCAGTGTAAAAAGCATCCATACAATCTCTTCCAAATAAGCTGGGGCTGATTAAACTGAAATGCTATACAGAAAGAGTCCTTTAGAAGCCAATACCGCTCATTTCAGTGATAGCAAGAAATGCTGATAAATGCCCTAATATTCCAGTTAAAGAAACTTAATTCAGAGGCTATATAGAGGCCTTCAGAAAATAAAAGGCAAAATTATAGCTGAAGTGGCTCAACTGCTAGCATATGAGTACTTCACACAATATTCAAAAGAATGATTCACCGAGCAACGCTCTTAAGAATGACAATAGGTGACTCTTGTATGCTGAATCCAGCCAAGCCTGCGAATGCTTAAGGAATGGTCTGTAACTATGTGAACAGCAATAGAGCCAAAAACTGACACTGTTCAAATACATTCTCAAGAACCTCATTCAAATAGATAATTTGCCAAATATAAAGAAGTTCCACAAATCACTATAAAAAATGCTACATGCATTTCTACTTGACCCTTAAATCCTTTCTGCAACCCAACAAAAACGTAATTCAAATTTCACCAATAACTTACCTTTGATAAGCTGCTGCACTAATGCACTGTTGGGGCCCTTATCAGTGCTATGCACGATACAGTTAGCTATCCTCGTCAGGTGTCCCATGTAACCATGCCTTCTTCCTCCCTCAGCCCTGATAAGAGGTAAAGGATAAATACTCAGATTCCTGATAGGATGAAGTGATGAAACACTCAGTAAGTGCTGCAGACTTTTAAGCAATCATTTTAAACACTGAAGGCACTGAAGAAGATGACAATGGACAGAAAAGAAAAGAAAAAGGAATGGAAGGTGCCAGAATATGACCATGCAGCATGGTCGGGGAGGGGTCTGAAACTGTCAAAGATTATATGGCAGCCTCAGTCAAGGGGCCACAATTTATTCAAATCTCAAAAATCATCACTCACTGTCAATAACACATTATCTTTTAAAAGATCAAATAAACATTCACTGATACCTAATGTTACTGTTAAAAAATATCTTTTTTATGAAACGTTTTCAAACCTTAATCAGATTATAAGGAACTGAAGTGAGATTTCTGCTAGTTCATTTTCTTAAAATATAGCAAATTTTTATTATGTCAATGAATAGAAATAATTATCTACCAAGGACATGTCTCAAGATATTAGCTGATTTGAGGACTTAGCCAAGATAGGAGACAGTCAACTGGTACTTGACCATACACCATTTTGAACATGTGCAAATAAACTTAGTCCTTGTCCTTTTCCAATTTAGGGTCTCATCTTCCCAACCACGATCAATCTTTACACTTAAATAAATTCGCATCAGGCCAGGCACAGTGGTTCACGCCTGTAATCCCAACACTTTGGGAGGCCGAGGTGGGTGGATCACTTGAGGTCAGGAGTTCAAGACCATCCTGGGCAACATGGCGAAATCCCATCTCTACTAAAAATACAAAAATTAGCCAGGCGTGGTGGTGCACACCTGATATCCCAGCTACTCAGGAGGCTGAGTCAGGAGAATTGCAAGAACCCAGGAGGCAGAGGTTGCAGTGAGCCAGTATTGTGCTACTGCACTCCAGCCTGGGTGACAAAGCGAGACTCCGTGTCTCTCTCTCTCTCTATATATATATATATACACACACACACACACACACATATATATAAAATAAATAAATTCATATCAATCTGAGTTGTCTGCATATTTACAAAGTGCCAAGACTTTAAGCGCTATGAAATAAAAGATTTTGGGCTGCAGATAGCAGGGAACAAACACTGCAGAGATTTTTGCTTAGAGAGAGAAAAGCCTTTCAGGAGCAATAAGAAAAAAAAAAACCATCCTATGCTTGAAGGCTTGCTTGGAAAATAAAGTATCTGCCAGAGAATCTTAGAGGGCTTAGGGGTGCCTAAGGGTAAGAAAGTACAGGGTTGATTATTTATTTAGAGACAAGACCTTGCTTGTCATCCAGGTTGCAGTGCAGTGGTGCAATCACAGCTCATGGCAGCTTCAAACTCCTGGGCTCAAGCAATTCTCTCACTTCAGCCTCTTGAGTAGCTGGGACTACAGGCAAGTACCACCACACCGGCTAATTTTTTGTAGAGCCAGGATCTCCCTATGTTGTCCAGACTGGTCTCTAACTCCTGGCTTCAACGAATCCTCCCATCTTAGCCTCCCAAAGCAGTGGGATTACAGGCGTCTACCACCGTGCCTGGCCAGGGTCAATCTGCACTGAGTTGCTCAGAATCTCTTTTAGTTCTTCAGTAAGATCCAGAGAGCCAGGTGTTACCTAGAGGCAACTTAGTCACTCTCCTGCACTCCCTCAAGTACACAAGTGAAAAAAAAACAAAGGCCCACCTCCAAGGTGGTGAACGGCTTCAAATTGCTTCAGGCTGCTGTGCAAGGAGACAAGGAAAGTTCTTTCAGGATCCCTCCAGATGGAGGGAATGGTATTCACCAGGCCTCCAGAAAACGGGGCTCACCAGGAGAGCAGGGCACAAAGGATATTTCAGCCCTGGCCAGATGAGGAGCCAGCAAGAAAACTGGAGGTTGGGAAGGGCACACAGAAGCCAAGACAGAGTCAGACATATAACCAGAGATGTCGACTAGGCCACAAACAGCACCTTCAAAGAGCTCCATTTGGAAGAATGTAACTAAGGTCTACCAGTACTAGCCCCTTGTCACAAACAAACAAAATACCAATTTCCCACATGAAGCCAAATCAAAACCCCAGCAGTGCTTATTAAACAATTAAAAAAAATCACACCTCAAAAAGTAAGGCTGACTCCCAAGAGTCATCTAGCTTTCCTGGAGACACATAACAAGAATGCTAGGAAATGATCAACTACAAAGGACCATGAGAGAAATTTTGGGGGTGACAGAAATATCTTGATTGTGGTGGTGGTGGTGGTGGTGACTTCAGGCATCAGTCAGAATTCCTAGGAATGCACACCCACAATGAGCTTTACCATGTAAGAATCATATCTCAATAAACCTGTCTTAAAAACAAACACAGAAGCATGCCTTGAGAGTGTTTCCCAAACAGGCCCTTATGCCGCCATGCTTCAGAATCTACAGGAGGACATACAGGCTCCCAGAGCACTAAAGAGGAACGCTGTTACAGACAACACCTGTAAGAAAAAGTTTTGTGTAACAAAGCTACTTACATGTATCAACTAACACTTCATATAACCTTGCCAATCAGCTAACAAACATTTTCTAAAAAGAAAATACTCAGCAATTTTTTCCTCTAGGTCCCTGTACTAAGCAACTCTTCTCTACAATGAAAATACGTATGTAGTACGATCTGTTCTAAGTATAAGGTGACCAGGACAAATACACTAAGTTGAATCATCAAGGACTTCACTTAAACCTTCTAACTCTTAGAACAATAGCCATTCAAAAAGGACCAGGAAGTTTCAAAGGCAGCACAGAGGTGGGGAACACTCCAAACTCACTGGTTTTGCCCCCAAAACGAGAGGACCTAACAAGAAGTTATTAATATTATAAAAATAACTGTTACAATGAAATAAGCTGGGGAAAAGTTTAAATTGTAAAATGGCCAGTATCATGTAATTATTTCCATTTTTTTTCTGACTAGGGCAAGGAGGTATTATTTTCTTCATATTACTAAACTGAATTCCTTTCAAAAAACAATTTACTTACTGTTTCTTCTCATTCATTTCCCAGGCTTCAAGTATTCGTTCTATTAATTGACATTTTTGGAAAAGCTGAATAAAAAAGAATATTCCAGTTAACACTTCAAAGCATTGAAACTTTTTTTTTTTTAAATTATACTTTAAGTTCTAGGGTACAAGTGCACAACGTGCAGGTTTGTTACATATGCATACATGTGCCATGTTGGTGTGCTGCACCCATTAACTCATCATTTACATTAGGTATATCTCCTCCTAATGCTATCCCTCCCCCCCCACAATAGGACCCGGTGTGTGATGTTCCCCCTCCTGTGTCCAAGTGATCTCATTGTTCAATTCCCACCTATGAGTGAGAACATGTGGTATTTGATTTTCTGTTCTTGCGATAGTTTGCTCAGAATGATGGTTTTCCAGCTGCATCCATGTCCCTACAAAGGACACAAACTCATCCTTTTTTATGGCTGCATAGTATTCCATGGTGTGTATGTGCCACATTTTCTTAATCCAGTCTGTCACTGATGGACATTTGGGTTGATTCCAAGTCTTTGCTATTGTGAATAGTGCCACAATAAACATACATGTGCATGTGTCTTTATAGCAGCATGACTTATAATCCTTTGGGTATATCCCCAGTAATGGGATGGCTGGGTCAAATGGTATTTCTAGTTCTAGATCATTGAGGAATCACCACACTGTTTTCCACAATGGTTGAACTAGCTTACAGTCCCACCAACAGTGTAGAAGTGTTTCTCCACATCTTCTATTTCTCCACATCCTCTCCAGCACCTGTTCTTTCCTGATTTTTTAATGATTGCCATTCTAACTGGTGTGAGATGGTATCTCATTGTGGTTTTGATTTGCATTTCTCTGATGGCGAGTGATGATGAGCATTTTTTCATGTGTCTGTTGGCTGTATGAATGTCTTCTTTTGAGAAGTGTCTCTTCATATCCTTTGCCCACTTTTGGATGGGGTTGTTTGTTTTTTTTCTTGTAAATTTGATTGAGTTCTTTATAGGTTCTGGATATTAGCCCTCAGAACTCTAGGTTAAAGAGAATAGTAGTATGCATAATCTAGCAAGCTAAATGTTGCTAAACCAAATGCAATGTGATAATCTACTGCAGACCCTCAGAACACCACAGGGATTCAAATCAGGATCCACACCCTCCACAGAACATCTACGGGAAACTCAGTATTACAGGTAGTGCAGTTAACCTGAAGCAAAACCAGGTTTTATTAGCTGTGAAAATTCAGACCAGAAATATAAAACCTGAACTAAATTAAAACGGAATAAAGAAAACTATGCCTTGGCAAAAATTTAACTTAGAATCCAAAGTAATACTAGTACTTTTAAAATGTGAGCAAGTCTTACTTCCAGATGAACATGACTGCATTAATATTAAACACAGGTGGATTTTGCCCAAATTCTGCAAGTCAGAGACAACTGCTGCGGGCTGCAATAATGGAATGTGCAGTGCTAATTCTTCTCAGGTGTCATTTGTCTTTCCCATCAACTTCACTGTTCCAAGCTAGCCTTTTCTACATTTTAGGTTTGCAAGTAAACTAAGCGTGGGCTAGAAATTTTTAAAGTACCATAGAACTAACAAGCAAGAAAAAATCTGAAGACTGACTTAGTAAAATTATCTCATATTTGACAGAAGAGAAAAAGAGACCCCAGGAAGAGACTCTCAACATCACAAAGAACTCAATTCTCCTGACTTTCAGTCAACGTATTCAGCAAAGAAAGTATACTCTGGTCTGCCAAATAATAGTGCGAATGTTTTCTATAGTATTTAAATATCTATGATTCTTCAAATCATCAAAATATTTGTATATCTTCAAACCTATTAATTTTATCAAATAAAGAGGCCACTTAGCTTTTTTCTCACAAGACAGTTCATTTAATAGTTATTTTTCCAGTACTTGATTTATATAACGATTGGTTAAACATGAAACAAACATGATAGTTAAATATTTAGACTCTGAAATCTAACCTCAAGCCCTTAAACCTCAATTCATACCACAGTCAAGTGGAAAACTGCTCTAACCAGGAGAGAGTGGGAGAAAAATGAGACCAAATAAGCTTACATGTTTTAATAACAAATTATCACCAGTGGAGTCTTGATCAGTAATTGTGGCATTTTCTGTGTTTTCAAATGGACTTGCAAGAATCAGTGCAATACAAATTTCCACTTGTGTATGCAAAAAGTTATTCCATGTATATTTGAAGAACATGTTCTACAAGAAAGAAAAACCATGTTTTATTTGGTTACCTCAATGTTTAAGCCAATACTTTAATACATTTATAGAAGAGTGATTTAATAAAGTAAAAATGATGTGCTCTCAGTCCAAAAGGACCAATTAAAAGGAACACGAGTTCACATCATTAGTACTTGCATAACCAGAGTTTCATTTTCTGTGGTTTCAGTTACCCATAGTCAACCATGATCTGAAAATAGGTGAGTATAATACAGTAAGACAGGCTAATGCAAGAGATGACACTCACATAACATTCATTACAGTATAGTATTATAATTGCTCTACTTTATTATTAGTTATTATTAATCTCTTCCTGTGCTTAATTTATAAATTAAACTTTGTCACAGGTATGTATAGGAAAAACACATAGTATATATATATATAGGGTTAGGTATCTGTGGTTTTGGGCATCCAAACGGGGTCTTGGAAGGTATCCCTCATAAATAACGGGGACTACATGGGGATGTGAAATACTGCTTTAGAGCCTAAATGGCATGCTATCTGCTTATGTGACATGCCAAAACTGGCATGGAATCTAGTAAAAAACCAACGACAAACATACAAAGACAAGAGAACGTTTCTCCAAGAGAAAGGGAGTATCATTTTTGTTTTCAAAGCAACTAACACAAATACTAAGTGTGGTAAATTTTCTATAATTTTCAAGAAAATTTATAAGAATTTCATTTTGATGCAACAAATATTTACTGCTTTGTGCACGGTATTGTACGAGATGCAATATGGCAGACTGAGGTACACAAAAATATGGTCCACAATCTTGAGGTGCTCATGACTCAACTCTGGCATACAAAAACTAGAACTATCAGCAAAAACAAATGGTACGAGAGGCAGCAACGTGAATTTCCTGGAAGTACAAGGGTTTTCAAATTACTTGAAAAGGTAATAGCAATTCAAAAGGTAAAGAATTTCTAAAAGCACAAAATGCATCAAGTATGTATTTAGGAAATGGTTGGATCTGGTAATCTAATCTCAGAATGAAAAAGTAATGAATGACTCCTCCAGTAGTCTCATCAAATTAAGTCTCATCAAAAGGAGTCCTTAAGATTAACAGAATAAATTAACAATAACTGTACACTTTTATTAGTAAAATTAAAGACTAGTGATTAATGACTTCGCAGTTATATTCCCAGAGTTTTATACACTAGAAGGTAAGACAAAAACTACGTCCCCAGAGGGCAATGACCATGCTAGCTATCAAAAAAATGGTGATTCTTTAAATCTTCATCTCTTTTTCCAAATTGCTCCTGTTTTCTATGCTCTATACTGATTTAACCCAAAGCTGAAATCTAACAAAAATATCTCACTGATGCTAGGAATCATAATGATGTGGCTGATAAAGCACGTATGAGTTTGAAATTGGGTGAATTCAAATCTTGGCTTCACCACTCACTAGCCGATGGAACGTATCCTCTCTCTGGGCATGATCTGAAAAACATATCCTCCCTCTCACTGTAATGTTCACCTGGCTGTCCTGGAGATCACCCAGGATCACATGAATAGCGTACAGAAGATGAACATTACAATGCCCGTCATAAAGTGAACAAACATCTCCTTTGAAACACCCCCAAATCTCCCCCAAATATATGATGTGCCCAGATGTCTTGTGAAACCTGCTAAAGGGTTAACCCTCATGCTTTCTGTGCTGTGGGTGGCAGCACAGAGAGAAGCATGGGCTCCAGAGCTGGGCCTGTGGATTCTAAGCACAAACTCTGAAACTGGGGAATTCAGGGGTCAGGGAGACCTAAATCACCCCTGGGCTTTCCCTTCTCCTTCCATCAATAAGCACGCTAATAACTGTCTCAAGGAAGAGTCAATCCAGACTCAAATCAATTAAGACCATATGGCATCAGGTACATTATACAGATACCTCCCAGTGGCAAGAAGATAAAGGTTTGTCCCCTCACTAAATACGAACAGAAAACAATGCTGCACCCAGCAGTCATCGTCCACGAGACGGAGCACAAGGGAAAGGCCGATGTCTCTTAATCATCTTCAAAATCCTGTGTTACAATTCTTTATACAAAGCAACAGTAGATGCCTAGTGAACAATTATAAGCATTCAAAATTTATGATAAACTCAAGGCAAAAACTACATAAAACACCATTTATGCTCAGACCAAGAAAAGTCACTGACATATTGTAAATCTGTAAGGTTGTAACTTGGTTAAATTTCCATGAAGTATCAATGGCAAATTAAAATGTCTGTGAGCAGGGAAAATCTCACCAATATGACTCCAATGCTATTCAGCTCCATAAGGTCCCCATTTATACTGCTGGTATTGGTTTGAAGCAGGCTGGATATCAATCTAATGACATTCAACCGGGTATTCCCCACAGGAGGATCCAGCACACCCCATGTGGTCTTCATCACACTTTTCTGAAGAAGAAAAAGCTTTCCAATTAAATTCAGTTAAATGAACAAAGCAAATGGTGTATTTGCTAAGACATGACTCTAGTTCAAATCCTGCAAACAACATGGCCTTAATTTTACACCTGAAACAAAATCTAAAGTTGCTCTTGATATCTTTCAGATACAATGAAATAACCAAGCAGGAAAAAGGAAAAAAAAGCAAGTAATTTCCCTGGACCATAAATTTTATAAGAAATCAAGTATCTCCCTGCCTCAACATTCCAAGCTGTCATGAGAAGAAAGCAGAAGGCTGCAGAATACCCTAGGAAAAAGCACAATATTTCAAAATCTGACCAGAAATCTAAACTAAAAGAAGTTATGGCCGGGCACAGTAGCTCATTCTTATAATCCCAGCACTCTGGGAGGCCGAGGCAGGTGGATCACTTGAACCCAGGAGTTTGAGACCAGCCTGAGCAACATGGTGAGACCCTGTCTCTACAAAAAATACAAAAATTAGCCAGCCATGGTGATGCACACCTGTAGTACCAGCTACTCAGGAAGATGAGGTGGGAGAATCACCTGGGCCTGGGGAAGTTGAGGCTGCAGTGAGCTGTGACTGTGCCACTGCACTCTAACCTGAGGAACAGAGTGAGACACCGTCTCCAAAAAAAAAAAAAAAAAAAAGGAAGACGGAAGAAAGAAGGAGGAGGAGGAGAAGAAGGAGGAGGAAGAAAGAGAAGGAGGAAGAGGAAGAAAGGAAGAAGAAAAAAGGAAGAAGAAAAAAGTAGTAGTAGTGGTAGTGGTGGTGGTGGTAGTGGTAGTAGTTGCTACAAGTGGTTTTGGAATACAATCCTCAGTCTGAGCCAAATCTGTGATAAAAATGCAAATTCAGACGTTGCCTCTGGATCACAAACCTGAAATGTGATCATTCTAAACCTGTTCTTGTCCATCAACAGGAGTTTCTATAGTCCGAAATCACAAAAGACAGAAGCAGAACATTTCCTAACTTTAGAAGTCTGAGAGCAAGGGTGGCATGTCACACCCTAGGTCAGGCTGCCCTTTCTGCCCTTCCCCATCCACATCAACAGCCTCGCTCCCTCTGGCTCCCACCCTCCCGAGGACTGACAGAGCTGTAAGGCCCACGGTTCTGCTCTCTATGGAAAACAGCTCTAATTGGCAGGCTTTGTAAAAAACTTCATGGATCTACTTACAGACACATCACATAGTAAAACCAGGTGCAAAGAGAACTCACTCAGTCCTCGGAGTAACAGGGAAGCCCAAACAAGACCCTGCCTAATACTTTTGAATCGGGGCCAAGAACCAGATGCCACCTGTTGGTCCACCCAGAAAGAAGATGGGCAGGCCACCTAAGACACAGGTTGGGCCCTTCCTCACATACCTTCTTCCCTGTCAGATCCTTCTCCCACCTCTGTCTTCCATTTGTGATGTTCTATCCTCTTCTAAATCTTTTCTTTTTCTTTCCTTACTGTTTTTCTTCCCAGGACTGGCACGAAGGATGATCACTGTCAAACACCAACAGAGGCACCTTCCCTAAGGGCGAGCACCAACACTATGGTCCACATTCAACACAGGCTGAATGCAGATAAGAAGATGTGGCTGGAATGGAACCAGCAGAACAACGCAAACTCTTGAGCGCAGCGATGGAACCACGACCTGCTAACCAATGGCATCGGGTATCTGAAAAGATGATCTGAAGCTCAACTAGACTCCCTTGGTTATGTAAGTTATCCTGTACTCCCACAACTCCAAATAGTTAAATAAACAGAAAACATCTAATTTAGAAGTGAGAAACTAGTATTCTGAATTCTCAATAACTCACACAGTAGATAACCACAGAGATACACACTATATGGGACACCAGATTCAATGACATAGGGCAGAAAAAAAAGGAAACTTAAGAACTGTTGCTGGGAACAGAAATCGCACGGAACTGAATCTTCCACCCTAGACTCCAAACGCAAGTGATTCTTCCCCTTATCTAAATCTGTACCAATCCAAGGGGCGAAAGAACATCGTTTATAGACTGCTGACAAAACTCTTGTGGGTCTTCACTGAGGAAACAGTCATTTTAAAATTAGCACATGGGAGGCTCTGTACTGAAAAACCTCCAAGTCATATTCTCTCCAAATTGTACACTAACTTCAACCTACTCTTTCTTAAATAAGGTCGACTGTACATCAGACATATACTGCTCCAACTCTGAATAAGAAAACACAATTTCAAAGATCAGTTTCTGAAAGATTAGCTTTTCCTGAAACATTCAAAAATAATATGTTATGCTACAAGAAGAAAATTCTTTTTTCTTTATTGGCATGTAAGTACCCAAGAATTCACAGAAGAATGAAAAGGTAAACTTCCTAAGCAGATGAATATTTTGTTTAATTCTCCATTCTCCACTCAAAAGCAGTAAAAATCACTGACGGTGTTACCTTTTCACACATTTGGTACATGCAGGCCGCAGCCAGTTCTGCCACTCCTAAGGCCCATATACATTCGAATGACTGTGTCAACCCAATTACTGGCTGGGCAGCCATGCTTAAGATAGCTCCCCTACCTTGGGTGGCTCCAGCAGGAGTTCATGAAAAGATCCAAGTCTTCCTCTGATGGCTTCTAGAACACTCTTGTTTACCGAACAAGCTGAATGGCTCATGCCTGGTGGGCAGATTTCTATATGGCCTTCGAATCTTGAAACAAAGCAAGGTAATTTTAGTTATTATAATTTCAGAACAAATCATTCAAGGTTACCAACCATGTATGTCTTTACTTAGTGATTATATAATAATGGCTATATCAACATTTCTGGCTGTGGGAAGAAAGGCTAGGAAGAAAGCATAATGAGGCAGAAGAGGGTTAATAAAACCTCAGCCTCTATAACCTGCAACCCAAACAGCTACAGTATCAGGTAAGAAATTACATGTTATTTCTTCCCATTCTAAACGTTGTAAGTTCCTCTAACTGACCAGGAAATTTAGAGCAAAAGGAATCCAGTCTCTGGATTATAGGGCACCCCACACTGCCTGCCAGTTTGGTTTGTTATTAATGAACAGGCCTATACTTGTTCCATACAGTTTTTCTTAGATAATCAACATTATTTCCTATTTAAAAGGTTTAAATTATTCTACACAAAGCTCATCTATGCTCACTATAACCTACTTCTTACAGGAAAACAATTATAGGTGGAATGAGAGTTGGGTAAATACTCAAGGATAGGAATGCTAGGTGACATTAAAAATGTTTAACTTTCTAAGAACTGACAAATATTTCTACGAAGTGGCTGTATTCCCACTTTACATTCCCAACAGTAATGTGTGTGACTTCCAGCTGCCCTGCATACTGCACTGAGTACTGTCTATTCTGTTTGTCTGCTTTAGCTAAGTAGTGGGCTGAATGATGCTCTCCTACCCAAAACATATGTTCACATCCTAATATGCACAGCCTGCAAATATCACCTCGTTTGGAAAAAAAGATCTTTGAAGATGAAATTAATTAAAGATCTTGAGATGAAAGAATATCCTAGATTATCCAGGTGGGCCTTAAATGCCATCATAACTACCTTGGAAGAGAGAAGAGGCAAGACAGACACAGAGGGGAAAGCAATGTAAAGAGGATGCAGAGAGATCACAAGCCATGGAATGCCAAGAACTACTAGAAGCTAGAAGAGGAATGCCTAAGCATCTCTGAAAGGAATTCAGCACCATCAACACCTTGATCTTAGACTTCTAGGACTCAGAACTGTGAGAGGATAGATTTCTGTTTTGTTGTTGTTTCCTGGGCTCAAGTGATCCTCCTTCCTCAGCCTCCTAAGTAGGTGTACAGGCACATGCCACCATGCCTGGCTTTTTGTTTTGTTTTGTTTTGGTAGAGATGGGGCCTTCTCAAGTGATCCTCCCGCCTCAGACTCCCAAAGTGCTCAGCATGAGCCAACACATCCAGCCTAGGTATTCTTCATATACCTGGATATAAGTCTCTTCTCACACATTATCAATATTTTCTGGCAGTCTGTGGCCTGTCTTTTAATTTTCTTAACAGAGTCTCAGAGCACAATTTTAAAATTTTAGTGTAGTCTTGAGTTGTCAATTTCTGTTTTATGAATTGGGTTTTGGCAATATATCTGAACAATCTCTACATAACTCTGAGACAAAGATTTTCTTCTATTTTCTTCTAGAACTACGAGTTTTATGTCTAGTTCCATCATCCATTTTGAGTTAATTTTTGCATAATCTGCAAAATACATATCAATGTCCAACTTTTTGCATAAAATACCTAACTGTTCAGGACCATTTATTGAAAACACTGTCCTTTCTCCACTAAAATGCCCCCATGCCTCTGTCCAAAACCTCCTGATCACAGGGGTGGGTCTACCTCTGGACTCTGCTCTGTCCCAGTGATCTGTACATCTATTCTTTCACTACACCGTCCTGATTACTGTCACTTTGTATTCAGTCTCAAAATCAGAGTGTGAGTCCTCTAATTTTGTTTTCTCTTGCAAAATTGTTTTGGCGACTGTACTTACTTAGATTCTCGTGCAAGTTTTAGAATTCACTTGTTGATTTCTAAAAAATCCTGCTTATAATTTGTTTGGAATCACATTGGATCTACAGGTCCCTTTGGGGAGAAGTGACATCTTAACAATATTGAGTGTTCTACTCCATGAACAGAGTATTTCTCTCCATTTATGTAGGTCATCTTTGATTTCATCAATATTCTATAGTTTTGGGGCATTAAACCTTGCACACATTTTGTTAGGTTTGTATCTTAGTATTTCCTTTTCTCTATGCTATAAAAAATAATACTTTGAAAAAATTTCAAATTCCAATTGTTCATTCTTAGTACATAGAAATGCAATTAATTTTTGAGTGTTGACTTCATACTTGCAATCTTGCTAAATGTATTTGTTAGTTCTAGGAGTATGGTTTTTTTTTCTTTAATGTTCTTTAGGATATTCTACAAAGACAATCCTGACATCTGTGAACAGAAGCAGTCTCACACCACCCCTTCCACTCTGAATGTCTTTTCTTTCTTTCCTGCCTTACTATTCTTGCCTGGACCACCAGCATGGCTTGAATAAGAGTAGTGATGGTGAATATGCTTGTTAGGTTCCCCAGTTTCAGAGAAAATCACTTCGGTCTTTAACTATTAATAACTATGTTAGTTATGGGATTTTTAAAAGAGGGCTTGGCCAGGCACTGTGACTCACGGCTGTAATTCTAACATTTTAGGAGGCCAAGATGGGAGAACCACCTAGGGCCAGGAGTTCAACACTAGCCTGGGCAATATAGACTCCATCGCCACAAAACATTAAAAAAATTTGGCTGCACATGATAGCTTGTGCCTATAGTCCTAGCTACTTCAGGAGGCTAAAGTGGGAGGATCACTTAGGTCCAGGAGATCAAGTCAGTAGTAAGCTACGATTGTGCCACTGCACTCCAGTCTGAATGGCAGATCTTATCTCAAAAAATATAAATAAAATGAAAGAGGGCTTTATCAGTTTTCATCCAAGTTCCCTTCTATTACTAATTTGCTGAGATGTTTTATCATAAAGGAATTTAACAAAATTGCCGGGCGCGGTGGCTCACGCCTGTAATCCCAGCACTTTGGGAGGCCGAGGCGGGCGGATCACAAGGTCAGGAGATCGAGACCACAGTGAAACCTCGTCTCTACTAAAAATACAAAAAATTAGCCGGGCGCGGTTGTGGGCGCCTGTAGTCCCAGCTACTCGGGAGGCTGAGGCAGGAGAATGGCGTGAACCCGGGAGGCGGAGCTTGCAGTGAGCCGAGATCGCGCCACTGCACTCCAGCCTGGGCTGGACGACAGAGCGAGACTCCGTCTCAAAAAAAAAAAAAAAAAAAAAATATGGTTTTTCTTCATTGATCTGATGTGATCAGATCTGTTGTCTGTTGATGTGAAGATTTTTGAAGGATGAATGAGCCTTGCATTCCCAAGACAAACCACACTTTGTCATGATATGTATTATCCTTACAATATACTGTTAGACTTGATTCACTCATATTTTCTTGAGGAATTTTACATTTCAGCTCTTGTGGCATCTTGCTACTTGCAGTCGGCCCTCTGTATTCACAGGTACTACATCCACTGACTCAATCAACTGTAAATGAAAAATATTCAAAGAAAGCTGGGTGAGGTGGTTCACCTAGTCCCAGCGACTTAAGAGGCTGGGGCGGAAGGATCACTAGAGGCCAGAAGTTCAAGGCCAGTCTGGGCAACATAGTGAGACTGCATCTCTAAAAAAAGGTGAAAAAAAAAAATGCCAAACAAAAAATACTATTTAAAATAATAAAAGAGCATAACATATATCATTTACATTGTATTACGCATAAGTAATCTAGAGATGATTTAAAGTATACGGGAGGATATGTGTAGGTTATATGCAAATACTATGCCGTTTATGAGACTTGAGCAACTGCAGATTTTGGTATGCATGGGAGTACTAGAACCAATCCTTAGCAGATACAGAGGAACAAATCTAGTTTTTGTTCCCATGATTTTGTGTAGTTTAGTCTAGTTTCAAAGTGATGCTGGCTACATAAAATGAGTTGGAAAGAGTTCTCTCTTCTATATTCTGACAGAGTTCTTCCATCTTTGGTAGACTTCACTAATGGAGCCCATCAAGGCCAGGAGTTTTCTTCGTTGAAGGTTTTAAATGTAAGTTCAATTTCTTCAACTGATATGGGGCTGCTCAGGCTACCTGCTTCTTCTTCAGTCATCTTTGGCAATTATTTCCATCGCATATAAACTGCTGAATCTGTTTAATGCATTGTTTGTAGTATTCTCTTATTATTCATCTAAAGTCCACAGGAAACAGTGTTAAAGTTCAAAGGACACAGTCATTCCTATTATTTGTAATTTGTCTCTTTTCTATTCTTTTCCTAATCTGGATGGAAGTTTATCAATTTTATTGATCTTTTCAAAGAACCAGCTTTCGGTTTCACTGATTTTCTGTATTATTTTTCTCATCTCAAGTCCACTGACTTCTGCTCTGAATTTTATTATTTCTTTCCTTCTGCTTGCCTTGGGTTTGCCCTGCCTTTACCTTTAATTTGTAAGGCAGGAGCTTAGATCATTGATACACATTCTTTCTTCTTTTCTAACATAACCACTTAATGTTATAAATTTCCTTCTACTGCTTTAACTGCATTCCACAAATTCTGACAAGTCCTATTTCCATTATCAATTAGCTCAAAATACTTTCTCTCATTTTCTTTGTCATTTCCTCTATGACACTTGGATTATTTAGCAGTGTGTTAATTTTCAAGTATTTGAGGCTATTTCAGAAATCTTTTTTATTGATTTCTACTTTAAACAAAGTATAGTCTAAATACAAATGTTACATGATTCTTATTATTTTAAATTTATTAAATTTGTTTTATTATGAGAAACTGGTCTCGTTATCAGCAAATTCCTATGTTGAAATTCTAACTCCCAATAAGATGGTATTAGGAAATGGGGCCCTCAGGAGGTAATTAGGTCATGAGGGTAGAGCCCTCTAAATGGAGTAAGTATCCTTATCAGAAGAAACAGAGTTTGCTTCCAATCTCTCTGCCACGTGAAGCCATATTAAGGTAGTAGCTGTCTGAAAACCAGGAGGGAAGCCTTCACCAGACACTGGATCTGCCAGTGCCTTGATGTTGGACTTCTCAGTCTCCAGAACTGTAAGAAATAAATG